AAAAAAAAAAAGTTATAGTGCCAATAGTACTTCAGAAATGGAAAGCATGGCAATTGAAGATTCTAAGGGAGGGTGACCTTGAATGATTAGGAATGAATGAAATTGAGAAATGATTTAGAAATCAAGATAATTCTAAATTTGGTTTACTTGGTATTATTTCTTAGAGCTTATRAAAATATGTATACTTTTTGGTCAACAAAAATTGTTGCTTTAAAAGCTTATGTGGTCCATACACATTTTCAATGTGGTTGGTTTAAATTTATTCAATCTATAATATTCAGCCGTTACCACTAGAGCCTGGGCATTTTTGTTCATTTAGTGCCACAACTGTGGTGATGTAAATGGGTATCTTGAAATTCTTAGTTGTGATCCAGAATGCCTAGATGAAAAACACCTAGTTCTGTTGTGTAATTAATGATCAGTGTTTGTGAAATGAGTAGGTAAATGGCCAGCCTCACACTTGCTGGAAATAAYTAGGCATTGGTGGGTGGGAACCCTCTTCAGAGATTAATCTGTTCACTGGAAACTGGAAAAATTTGCATATGTGTTTATTAACATAGTTCCTGTTTTAATAAATTTAAGGCAAAATGAAAATCCTAATAGAAGTAAATAAGATCCAGTTTTTTTTTCAGTCAAAACAAATGCTTGAAACCATTTTGACAGCCCTAACACTTTCTCTAAATGAAGCTGGGATTAAAGTCATGGAGAGATAATAAAAGCTTTAAATTAAAATATGAAGTTCAAGTGAACTATATCTGTACAAGAAGAAAGAGCCAAACTTTTATCATKTATTTCATATTAATAGTTTATTAGCATTTTTAAAGGTCTTCATTTTTCCTTGCTATATTGTTGTGGGGATATAATATCCACATCCTACTCAAGTTCTATATTCATAAAAGGGTAATTGACATCGCGGCTGGGGTTGTAGCTCAGTGGTAAAGTACTTGCCTGGAATGTGTGAGGCACTGGGTTCGATCCTCAGCACGACATCAAAAAATAAATAAACAAAATAAAGGTATTGTGTCCATCTACAACTAAAAAAGAAATTTTTTRAAAAAGGGTAAGTGACATCGTTAAGGACAGAAACTATGTTTTAATATCTCTCAACCTTTGGTTAGTCAGACATTTTGGCTAAGTGCATCTCTCTGATTTAGTGGAAGTAACGTAAACATTGCAAAATATTGGTGTGTTAAGACTGAAGGTTGAAGAAATTTAGCATTCACAAAATAGTTTTTCTCATAATATACATAATGTATTACTTTGGATCTACATAATCATGCTCTTTTTAAAAAATATTATTTTGTGGATAGAATAGAAGAATCTGGAGTAGAAAGAAGTAACTAATATTGGTTATTCCATCTTGGAAGTGGCCTAGTATCAGAGAACACAGATTAGCTGGTTCTACCTCTTGTTTCTCTATAAAATTGAACTATAAAAGTCTTTTTTTTTCCCATAGGAAAAGGTGTAGAGTGCAAAGTACTTAACAGGTAGAACACCTGGACTTCACCACTTCTTGACTTTATCAATATTTCAAATTCCAGAGGCTCTGCTCTTTAAATTCCTCTTGAATTCACTGAACATCACATTATAGTTTTAAAGATTTTATTTTATTATATAACAGCTTTTGTTTTGTGGAAAAATGAAAAGATCAAAACACACAGAAAAGAGAATATTATTTTCATCCAAGCATCAAGCACAGAGTGCCAGGCATAGAAGCCATTAATAAATACCTATTGATTGAATGCCAGGAATTAGCTCCCTGACCTCTGAGTAAATTGCTTAAGTTGTCATATTCCATCTGTAAAAAGGGATGGCTGGCAGGGCTCTTGTGCTACTTATTTCCTTGTTATGGATTTATGTGACATGAGTGATCTTTCAGGGACTTGGTGAAAAGTATTAAATAAATCATACTTTTATTATTATCTGCAAGGAAGAAATGATTTGAAATTTGCTGTCTTAAAAATCATAGTGCTATTTAGGAAAGAAAATGACTTATTTGCAACTAGTAATAGGTGTTTATTTAGCGGGGGAGTATTTATGAAAGTAGATGTATTTGTTTATAAATAAATCATCATTATAAAATATTAAAACTTCTTCCTCTTCTTCCTATGATATCAAGTTCGATTATTTGGTTTCTACCATCTCCAGCCCCAAACTACTGTCATATGGAATGAGTTTATCTACCATCATTTCAAGGAAAAGGAAGTAAATGAGGAAGAAATGGTTCTTCAGTTTCTTCCAAGTCTCTGATGATGAATTGTATTTACTTCATAAGCATGATACAGGCCTATCTGTACTAATCCCATGATACGCTTATTTCCTTAGGTGATACAAGTGCCCTTGGTTAGAAAACTTGGCTCTTTGGGAGAGAAGCTAAATTAGATAGTGGGTTTTCATCATTGGAAATGATAACACACATGGAGAAAAAAAAAWTTTTTTAACTTAAAAGTACCTGTTGTCTTATGAGAAATTTAAATAAGTTGGACTTTTCTCAAGATGGAAATTATGACAATTTGAAAATATTTAAAATAATTTTCTTTTTACTATTCTACAAAAAATAATTGGAAGGTTGTTATCAACATTCACATATCTGTTGATATTTGACCTTTTGTAAGTCCAGAACTTATTTTCCAAGTATGATACAATAGGATTTTTTTGTGTAGTTTCACATTTAAAGTCCAATAATTTTATAATAGGAGTGGTTCCCTGTAAAGATTATTTTGAGACTTAGCTCACCTTTATTATTTATCTTTTGGAAGTGACTCTTGTTATGGTCATACTTTGAGGAAGGGTTTTATTCTGATTTACACAGAATGAGTGAATGATAGGTAGCTCTTCAAGTTGGGGTCTTAATTATTCCCCTGTTTGACCTTTGCCTGTAACATTTGGTTTGAGTTGTGTTCTTCTCTTTAAGATTCAACTACTGGCAGGAGCCTTATTTAATCTTTCTATTGAGCTGTTTCATCTCCTTGAATAGGGCATCAACCTATCTTTTATATGGGCATGCTATTCTGCAAAACTATTAAGATTGACTGCATCGAGKTAGGGTATATTCTATTTAAAAAATCATATAATAGGCTTCAATATGATTAAGAGTAAGGCTATTACGAGTACAATACATAGTAAAATCATAACACTCAAGAGATTTTTACATAATGTGCCATGCCTAATGTGCAAACAGTTGATTTAATTTTCTATTTTACCTTTTCGAAAAGCATGGTGTTTCTTATAAATGTTGCCAATATATTCTATAGTTTCATTTCTTAATATTTGAGTTGATATGCTACTTTAACTAAATTGTATCAAATTCCCAAGGAATCCAATTTCTAGTTTGATTTATACATGTAAAACAGGGTCTTTGTTTAGCAGATTTAAACTGACTTCATAGTAAGAAAAGAAACAAGAAAATTAAAATCTAATTTAAAAATCTAATTTTTTAAAATGGGACAGCCTCTGTTGTTAAAAAAATCCAGTATTCTTTTATTTAATAGTCTAATAAAAATATAATACTTCTAAATTAGGAAAAAGCCTTTACCAGAATGCATTTAAAACAATTCAACTGTGATTCTTTTTTTTTAAAGAAATACCACATCTTGTTGACCTGTTCATTAGTTGATGGATATTTGGGTTGTTTTTACTTTTTGGCTTTTGGCTTTTATGAACAATGATAATTGGGAACATTTCCATACAAGTTTTTGTGTGCACACATATTTTCATTTATCTTGGGTATCATTTAAAAAAGTAAATTGAGACTATACTTTGAAGACAACCCAGGGGCTGGAGTTGTGGCTCGGTGGCAGAGTGCTTGCCTCCTGGGTGGCAGAGTGCTTGCCTCMTGGATGTGAGGCACTGGGTTTGATCCTCAGCACCACATAAAAATTAATAAATAAAGATATTGTGTCCATCTACAATTAAAAAAGCATTTAAAAAAAAGAAGAAAAGGAAAAAAAGATAAAGACTACTCAGATCAGGCAAAACCAGTTAAAACATACAAGTAAAACTTAAGCTAGATTATTTCTTATAAATATCTCCAGTAATCAGAAATAAAACTGAAACTAATTTCCAAAAATGGTACAAGATGATCAGTTTTAAACAATCCTCTGCTGTATGAAAAGCCTCACTGTAATAACCAATCAATGTAAAGGTTAAACACCTTCCTCATTTTTGCTTTATTAGGTAGTGTGTAGCTCCATGTCAATGACTTTTCTC